ATTTTGGGAATGATGAGGGCAACAAATGTATAGATGTGCTTTACACAATTGATCTATGTATTGTGATGAATTTTATGAGCCCCAATAAATTGATTAAAAATAAATAAAAGCAACTTTCAAAAGGTATATATGTAAAGGTATATTAGTTATCTAACACTCAGAAAATGCAGGTAGACAAAAATAAATAAAAAATTAAAGAAACATATTTTATATTTGAATACCTCTGGACATAAATTGCTTGAATTCATTTTATAACAATGTGAGGCTTTTTATGAAGATCTACAGTTTGCTGCTTTCACAACTCAGTCTCATTTTCAAAGTAATATTTCCAAGTCCATAACGTTTATAAATGGAAAACTATCCAATTTAATCTCATCAGGACTCACAGTTTTAAGGATAGGTAACACAGTCAAGAGTGAATAGAATTTTTGGGTAATATCTATTTTCCTGTGGTTATCACAATACAAGAATTTATTAAGTAAACCAATCTTTTTCTTTAGGTTTAAAGGTTGAACTTCAAAATAAGAGGAAATCCCCTTAGGAGACTTTAATATTCTCTTTTCCCTTTTCTAATTGTTGCATTCTTGAATTTTGGAAGTAGAAATAGCAAAAAATAGGATATAATATGGAAGGATTATTTTTAACATATCCTTTGGGATATTGCCAAATAAGAGAGATCTTTAGGTCTCTGTTCAAAAATATTTTTAACTATGTTAAAGTTATTAAATAGAAATCATATCCTATTTAATCATATGGGCAGATTAGTAATTCTCATTTTTAACTTGGAATAATATTTTCTTTAATTTTACTATGAATTTTGAACATCCATATTTTTGAAATTTTAAATAATTTTATGAAATATATTCGCTGAAATTTTAGCTATTAAAACTGTTGTTCCTTCTTAATTATCATAATTAAACTAAGAACATTCACACATAAAAAACATGTTGTCTTCTACCTTATTGTAAATTTACCCAGTACTTATAGGAATTTCTTCATAACTAATTGATTATTTCATTACCAAACAATTAATTAAATGTACCATAAAAATAATTTAATATCGATTACTTTACTTTTTATACAGTCCATAAATTATGTTATAATTGGAGTTTTATTTAAAAAGTGATATGTGGAATTAAATTATTCTAATTTCTTTTAAAGTACAAATTATCAAAATTTTTGAAAAGTGGAATAAAAGTTGTTTCTGAAATGTTCACTTCCTTTTGAATTTCATTCTTGAATATCATCATTTTTACGAAGAGAAATCCTAACTTTCATTTTTAGAATACCCTAAAATTCTATCTGCTCACTTATTTCTTATTCATTAAAGTATTAAATAGGCTAGAAGATTATTTCATATAATTTATACCCCATTTTCTCCCTAAGAATTATTATTTTTCTTTGAATACAATAAACTGAATTTCAACTTTTCAAGACATTACCAAGTGTAATAAACTTTTTAATTCAATTAAATGGGTAATTGGCTATCAAAACCAGTCATTCAATTTGTAAACAGTAAATGTAGAGGTAAAGATTTGACTTACTTTTAGTTTCTGTTACTTTTTTGCATACAGTTATGAGCCACAGTTTGCTTAAACAAGTCTTCAAGCCTAGATTGATCACACAACATGTGGGCGAGACTCTTCCAAAGACAGTTCAAATACCCGAGTTACATGAGCTGCTTTGTAACTTACCATTCTGGTGGAGGGCACTGATCCCTTGTCAGAAACCGTGCCAGCAACTTGATGCAGCTTCTGACCCCGTGCTGTGCAGCTGGACAAGTTACGGCAGTCGGATTTGCATATCATGCAACCAAATTAAGAATTCAAAGGAGCAAGAATAATGTATTCAGCCAAACCTCCAAGTTAGATTCACAAGAAAGGGGACTTCCTATGATGTGCAAACTCAAAACAAATGACTCACTTCACAGAAAACATATTTGTCAGATAGCTGTTGAGCATACTAGTGGGGAAGTAATTTCACTCGTTATCCAAACAACTGGAAAATCTTCCTTATTTTCATAACCTTTTGCATATTTAAAAGAAATTATAAATATTAGTTTAGGTTGGGTGTGCAATTGCTACTTCTTTTTATTGTTTAAGTTCACAATTTGTGGTGAATTCTATACTGGTCTTATAAAAAGTCTACAGCAGTTAGCAATTTTAAAGAGAGGGATATTGAACCCAAGATTTGGAGGAAAACCTGGAATGTGTACTGTCTGTGTACTAGTAAAAACGATACCAAAGCATCGCACATTCTATTTTTCTATATGCAAGCTTAAGAAACATAGAAGATACATCTTGTAGCAGGAGATCAAAGAGAGAGGTGCTGTTGAAAATACTTGGATGAATGGCAATTCTCCTGTCCAAGTGAGTGGTTAAAGGAACCCCTGAAAGTATCTCAGTGCCATCTCAGCAAGGATGTCTGTCTGGCTTTCCCTGAAAGTTGTATTAGATTTACATTCAAGTATACCCTTGGTTCTGCTTTATGTTAAGCATAGGGAATATGCCAAGACAGTCCCAAATTGGGCAGGCTGTATTATTCCAATCTGAATGCCATACAAGTTTAATATTTAATTAACAATCAGAGACAGAGGCCCAGAAAGCCCTCGCGCAGTCAAACATTTCCCCTTCTCTCAGTAGCTGAAAGCCTAGCGCAGCAGAAATATTAAAAAAAATAAATCATATACTTGTACATACATGCACATATATAGTTTGGAGTATAGATGCATATAACTATACATATATTCACATATGTACAGTTATATGTACATATGAGTGAATATATATGTATATTCAAGTATGGATAGATATTATAAAATATATTTATGATTATTTATCTGAAATAATATTTTCCTAATGTTTTGAGAACTTATATGTCAGGTCCTAACTAAGCACTTTTGTACATTGAATTCTGGTAGTGATCCTCTGATGTTTTTATTATTTTCAAATTTTCTTCTTGTACAGATTAGAAAACTGAGCCTGAAAGAGGTTAACCAACATTTTCAAAGTCACAACATTAATAAGGAGTGTCTCCACAGTTTAAAAATACACTCTTTGATCCTAAAAGCATATGCTCTGTCTCTTGAATGGATCTACAAGTCCTTTGATTGACACAACAAACTAAACTGAAGTCTATGGATTTATGTTAGGTTCATTTCTGAAATGCAGCTCATTTGTACTTTCAGAAGGAAGGAAGTCTAAAATTTTAATTTTGTTTGTAAATTTAATGTGGCAAGAAACAGAACATTTTAATAATTCTTACTGACACTAACACCAGAGGCCACCATTACAGACACAGAATACACATGTGTATTCACCACAAGTCTCTGCCACTATTCTGATGTAATCCAACGGGGATTACCTTGTTGTGGAGTAGTGGTCCCTTAAAGGTTCCTATTTTTTCTCCCCACATCCTGACTGCCACCCTGGGGTTCTAACTTGAAAAGCTGTGTACACTTCTCCTTTTTCCTAGTCTCGTTTATCTAGAACCTCTAATACTCTAAAACAAGCCCTGTGAAATATTTAATTCATTTAATGTTCATAAAAATTATTAATAGTATTAGTGAATACTGTTAATATCCTTAACTTTCAGAATAAGAATGGAAGCCAAAGAAAGTAAATTACCAACACCCAAAAAGTTTGTAAGTGGCAGGGCTGTAATTGAACATCGTGTTTGATTCATGAGCCAAAATTTTCAACTATTTTTCTGCTTCTTTCATATTAAATAAGAAATTAGGAATGTCCCATTGAAACATATGAAGTCACTCATATTGGGCAATTTTCACTTTTAACATGCAATTTCATGTGGTTGAACCTAATAAAATAAGTTTAAAGCTAGCAATATACCTGTTGTCTATTATATTTATTGCTTATCAAATTAAATTATTCAAACCTTCCTACTGAATAGAACAGGAAATTTGATGCAAGAAACCACACACTTCCCTAGTAGTTTATAGAAAGGCTATACTAAAAGTATTCATGGCGATTTACAAGATGCATTTTTTTTAAAGCAGAAAAAAATTGTTTAGAGGACAAACTGATCTAAGGGCATTTTAATCTTCAAGAAGTGAGACAAGAGGAGGACAACTAATTCATTTAAGGGATTTTCCCCTTCCACCGTCGAGCACATAATACTGAGTACGAGGACGCCATGGAGGCTGAACCCCAGAGGCTTACTGAGGAACACGTTTGGGTGGGTCTATCATGGATATACCTAAGGCCACAGCGTTATTTCCTTACTGCAGAAAAAAAATTATGTATGAAATACATAAAGAAGACAACAAAAGAGAAAACATATGGAAGGCATTTGTGGATGAGCCTTAAACTTCCAGATTCTACCAAACAAACTGTCTATAGACTGTTTGCTTTACCAAGGAAATCAGTCTATTTAAAATTCAAGCTAGAACTAATCAAATTTTTCCCCTTACAGAAAAAAATCCCTAACTTCTTAACCCAGTTTTATCATATAGTTGTTCTTTATTTTTCTCGAAATGCAATGGAGAAAATGAGTCATACTTGTTATTACTGTTCATAATTTAAAAGAGTTATTTTCCTACTGAATTAAAATATGTTGCTTATTAAAAATATCTAGTTGAAGCCAAGAGATTTAAAATTCTTTGAACCATTAAGAGTTCATCTAAGTACACAGAAAAATGCACCATTATTTTTTCAAATATCAAGATTCAAATTTCAAACAGCTAAGTGATTTTTTAAATGAGAAACGGTAAGCCTTAACTACAGCTATTTCTCTACAAAAATAATGCTATCTTATTTTTCTGATGTGAAAACAAGATTTATGAAATCCAGACACACATATAAAATGTGGGCACAATTTTCCTTCTGAGCAACAATTCAGGGGGTCTAAATATTACGTGGATTGATGTTACAGTGATTATTATTTTATGGCTTTCATAACCTTTTTCAAGAGTCCTAGAGTACCAATTTAAACAGAAACAATTCAGAAGGTGAGTGTGTTGATTGATTTGGATTCCAATATGCAGTGCTTGAAATTATCAAATTTATTATTGTCATATGAAGAGGGCTTTAAAAAGTTTGCACAAAAAAATCCGATATCTTTTCATTTCACTTTCTTCTCACAGACCTTTGAAACCTCCTTGTATGTGTATTTGTGATTCATGCAAAAGCCTGTCCACTCTCAGTTACTGCACAAGCTATTTTTAAATAGCAGGAAGAATCGGTCATACAAAACAAGGAACAAGGAACAAGTTTCTAAATATTTTCCCCAAAGAAATGAAAATCCAGCCTCTAATCTGTGTGTGGGGAAGGTCAGAGAAGAGGAATATAAGAGAAGTGTTCAATTGCATCGTAGTATGCTCTGTGAACTCAAGAAGAAGAGAATGGTGAAAAATGTAAATCACAGATAAGGGGGGAAATCCTCTGGGAATTCAGACCTCCAAGAGTAGTTCTGGCACGAAGATTGTTTAGAAGCATAGCGTTGTGCATGTCAAGGTCAAATAACAAATTAATGGGAAGAAGAAGTACTTCTCAAATAGTAAACAGTAAACTCACTGCTGATGGTAATTATTAGCACATTTCAAGGAAACAAGATTAGCTTCTCCTTAACTACATCCTTAAGCCTATTAATTTCAATGGAGACAGTCTGCTGCCTTGGTTAACCTTTTAGTGCCCAGCTCCGTTTTTAAAGATGGGAAGGACCTTTCCAGAAGTTGTATACTCTTTTGGATAAATCTGGTTTTGATGTTGTCATTTTTCGGCCTCGTCCGTCAATTCCAACTCAAAGCGATCCTATGTACAAGAGAAGCAACACTGCCCCGTCCTGCACCCTCCTCACGACTGTGTTTCAGTCCATCGCCATTGTCATGCCCACGCATCAATCCATCCCGTGGAAGGTCCATAGTACGAAGTGTGAGGCCATTTTGCAGCGGCCGGTTTCATTTGATAATATACACCAAGAAATTGAGATGAAATCTCACCATCTTCCCTTCTAAGAATCATTTTGGTTGTACTTATTCCGAGGCTGATGTATTTGTTTTTCTAGCAGTCCATGGTACTTTTAATATTTGTTGCCAACAATTCTAATGCATCCATTCTTTTTCATTCTACCTTGTTCACTTTAAAATGTTGGTAATCATCAGCCAGAATTTTAAAAATATTTATAGATTTTTCTGCAAAAGTCAAGGTTCTTAAAATTTATGACTGAGTTTTTATTATTTCTTCATGCTGAAGATATAGAAATAAAATCACATGTCCCTAGAAATATAGTCAGGAATGTAACATCTACAATTAGATTAAGAAGTAAGAAGAAACAAAAGAGTTAACTGTGCAACATCAAGGTAGAGGTAAAAGAAGAGATTATTGTCAGCCAACAATAGTCTCCACCTCAGTCAGGGAACTCAAGTAAAGTGTTTTACACAAATAATACATGCATTCTATATTCTTACCAAGTGAAACACCCCCTCGCCCAAGATGTCTTTGAGTTATGTAAACATTGTATGTAAAAATATGGTAATATGGATAGTGGCCACAATATTATCCATTTTGGATATGCATTTGAAGTTATGTAGTAGTATTTTAATTTCACACGCTGGTTGAGCCAAACCTCTGATTGATTGAATGAGTGAGTGTTTGGGTTGGCTTTTATTGTGTTAAAATATTTCTTATAAGACATTTTCCATTTTAATAATATTTAGATGTAAATTTCCATGGCATTTTGTACTTTTACATGCTATATGACCATCACCATTAACACTTTACAA